ATATATATATATATATATATATATATATATATATATAGTTTATAAACTGTGTTTTTAAAACAAAAACTTAATGCAATACGTGCAGACATTGACCAACGCCTCATGAACCGCTTAAGTACAACTATTAATATGAGGTAAATACAAGTATTAGGTTGATGCAAAAATAATGACGTAAGAATGTCGTTTTTGACGTTAAAAAATACGTTAAAAAACGACATTATTACGTCATTATTTTTGCACCAACCTAATAGATAACACCAAAATAATTTACAGTACCCAATGCAAGAGAAGGCTGAAAACTTTAGTCGCTATTATTATACAAAATAAACAGCCAACATTAAATAAAATATCATTCACCACGGAAGGTAACTTGAAGTGCATATGATATAATTCATTTGCGCACATATTTTATCAGTATTATAATAAAATAAAAATAAAAATAAAATTAATCGCATTCTGTGCTGTCTCGTTCGCAATAACCGTGTCACGGGGCATCACCCTTGACCATTTCAAAGTTCCAACTTCCCAAAGAATACCAGGATGCAGACAAAAGAATTCTAAGTACCACGCAGACACCACATTGTTTCTTGATAATGACTGCGAAAGTCGAAAGTACCTGAACAAAAACAACAAAAATCAGAACTTTGGACAGTTTATCCACAACTTCGAGCACAATACTCAACACCTTATCCGAAAACTGGAGAAATATAATAAAAAACAAAAACAGAGAGAGATATATATATATATATATATATATATAAAATAATGAAAACAGATAACAGACCACTTCAAAAAACATTACAAGACTATTTCACCAAAGTTTTTAAAGGATCCGGATCATCAGGTAACAATTTTTGAAAGGAAAAAGCAAAATTACTTAAATTATATATATATATATATATATATATATATATATATATATATATATATATATATATATATATAAACAGTGACTATAACTGCTAATAATCCAAGACTCTCACAAGTCTCGGATTAAGTCCTCTAGGTTACTGTCGTGTTTATGAAAAAATAAATACGCAAAAATTCTCCATTCTCACTGCCGGGCTCCAATAGCCTAGGGGTTAGAATCACCGACTGATGCTAAATCAGTCGGGTTTAGCTCTTGGCTTGAAGCGATCGGATGTCTGCCACGGTAATGAACTGTGATACAGCAAACAGTCTGTCTGTGAAGAGCATTATATTATTATAATATTTTTTTTATAATAGATTCCAATGAAAACCTTTTATATCGTTACACAAAAAACTTTCATGTTTCCGAACTCTAATGGTTCCTCTTCGGCTGATGGTAGATAACAGATGACAAAAATGATTTATTTGGGAAATTTGAAAAAAAATCGTTACCTCTTTTGAAAGTTAAAAAAGTGGAGAGTCCTAAGGTCAAAATTAAAAAATATATACTTGTGTCCATGTCTGGATTAACCAATTAAAATTCAGACCTATCTTAAAATGAAAAATAAGGTCAGAGTGTGGCGGAAGGTGGGTTATTAATTCATGTCCTGATAAACTGACACTCTAGACATGTCAGCGGCAAACACATTCTAGGCAAATATAGAGTTCAGATTTGTTGAAGTAGACTCGAACAAAAATAAATTTCAAGAATTTTCAAAATTTTTATACTCAGGAAACTTCTTAAAGGGGCCAGTAGGTAAAGTTTAAAAAAAAAATTTGGAACATTATTATACGATGCTAATTATATTGAATGGGCGGTAAAACATTGACGTAACTCAACACTTAAGAAAAGAGCGTGATTTAAGAAATGAAAAAGAAAAGAAAAAACAGTGTTTGATATTGTTTCACAATATTTAGACAATATGTTAATCTTCTTCGAGTTATGCTTAAAAATTGTCTACAAGTATAAAAATATTAAAAAAATCTACAAAAAAATTGTCTTTGCACAAACGTCGCTTGTCTTGAAGAAACGTTTGTAATGGTAATCAACGTGCCACAACGCATAAGACAAGGCCAGTATAAATGATATGCAATTGAAACGTGAGTAATACGATTGTTGTCTTGTTCATCTTGAAATTTTCCGTTAGTTGACTAATTACTAAGAGGAATTAATCAAACAGCTTAGTAGAAATCTTATGGAACTCTCCTGTTATTCTGTTCATTCCACCTGGCCGGGGAATGAACAGAAGTTAGTAGTTAGTAGTTTTTATACGTAACTAAAAGTTAGTAGTTTGTATACGTAACTATCTTCATGCGTTTTATGTGTCGCAAGGTCGGTGCATTCTGGATATTTTTCTTTCAGAATATTCACCTTAAGATGTTCGTCGAAATTAGAGTTGTTTGTAATAAAGCGTTCAGTGAACGCTATTGATGTGACATTGTCGAGTTTGACATCACATCTGTGATCATTGAATTTTTATATTTCAATAATTCCGTTGTACAATCAACATATATCAAGTCATGTCTTGTACATTGTATATCAATTGGGAATCAGTACAATTGCCACCTTCTGAAGAAATTGTCATGTTTCTCTTGGAATTATTATTAGTGATTATATTTATATTATTATTATTATTAATATATTTTATGTATATTATAATATTATTATTATTATTAATATATTTTAGGTATATTATTATTATTATTATTAATATTATATTTTATGCATATTAAATATTTTATACATACTTCAATATATCACTATTTAATGTGGCTTGTTTCTTTAATATCTTCGAGTATTTTGCGCCTTTCTTTGCATTGAGTACTATATAGTTTTTTTGTCAATATCTATTAATAATTGATTTACGTTAATATTTTGCAGTTTGCTCATGATATATAGAAAAATTGAAAACTGGTTCAAAGAAAAAATGAATTGGCGTGTTTCCAAATAGTTATAGCGTTCGGATTTCGATCCTGACACCCGGCTTCGAATCAAACTCTGGACAATTAGTCAAGGATAAGGAGAGCTCATGATGATATCACTCTAGGGAGACCGATTCCAGCATGCGTTATCATAGACAAGTGCCTGAAAAAAACATACCACGTTAACCCAAGCCTTGTGTGTAAAATCTGGATTTGTGAAACTGTTCGGAAACCGTCAATGTATGAGTGAGTCCGTAGTTGCAAGCCGTTAACTAAGAGGCAGACAGAAGCTTTTTTAACCGTGTTTGGCCTCCATATGGTATATCAATAGAAACACATATTCCTCAACAGCCTGGTCAATCCCGTGGATGGATTGACCAGGAAAAACGCATAAAATCACTAAAATTATTTTTTAAATAATTCGCAAGCGAAAATAGCACACCATCAAATAAATGAAGCTTTTGTGTTAATATTTAAATACTTAAAAATATTTTTTGTGTCCCAGGAGTTTCCATCATACACACAAGAAATCATTTATTAGTCAAGGACATGGGCTTCGTTGTTTTAACAATTGACTTCCATCGTTCTACAAGCTTGTTGATGCCATTTTTGTTGAAACTTTGTTTTTGTTGGAAAAGGTTTGATAGATAGCTTTCCACTGATTGTACAGAGTCATTTTTTTGTCATCTAAATTGTTCTGTGCAGATCGGAACAAATGAAAATCTTATGTGATGTCAACGAACACTCGGTTGACACTTTTGTGATGTCAACGAATACTCGTTGTCACTTTCGTAATGCTCGTTGTAGTAGAGACTTTGTAATCGCAGATACATCTATGGCAACGCCGTTAAACAATACTAGTGTTAGACGCCTTGGAATAACACTCGTACTAATAGTACTTGCTTGGTAATACTCACTCAAACAGTAACCCATATAGTGATCTGAATAGAGACATCGTATAGTGAATAGAGTAGAGAATAGTATAGACTAGAAATGGTGATCCTTATAGTAATATAGCATAGAATTGAAATGCAGATACGAATAGTAATAGAGGATAGAATAGAAATGCCATCCATTAGACATACGCTACCTCCCATATATGCGTTTCCTCTATGGTCACGTGGTCTACTTAATTCTATAATGGGATCGCCTGTGTTTGCCCACTGGCGATCTATGTTCAAACTCAAGTGTCGGCAGCGACACTTTATTGCTATATAACAAAATCTAAAGGGGATAAATCAGGAGGGTGTCCCATTACAACGCTTAAGCTTCTGCAAGATCTGTTTTGCAACATTGTGGTCTTGTCATGGTTGAAAATGAGGCCTTTTCAATTTGCCAAAATCGGCCTTATTTCTTGAACCCAAGTCTCTTCAAATGGTGAAAGGCAGTTGCGATATCGATTTTCAGTCTCTTAGCAATCGCTTCCAGCAAAATCTTCGGTTTATTCTCCACGATTGCAAGCAAAGCATCTTCATCGACGTCGGAAGGTCGCCCGGGGATGTGGCTGATCGTTTAGTTAAAACGAAATCTGCCAAATCACTTTTTGACCATCTAAAGAGATGAAGCATGATCCAAATAACACTTCCGAATGTTTTTTTTGTTTTTTTGTTTTTTTTTGTCGCAGTTCTGACTCCTTTCCGAGATTCATAGATATAATAATGCGAAAATGCAACTTTTCGTCCTCCATCTTTAAGACGTTCATTTGTGGACAAAACGTCAATATACAACAAAGTCAGACTCTCAACTGAAGGGTGCAAAGTTTTCAATCTAAAACATACCAGCAATCGACACGAGAACAAAAGCCAGTTTTGAATTATAGTTCTTTTATATTAACGATAAAAAGTGGACATGCACCATTGGAAGTCTGAACTAAATAGCTAACACAATCAAATCTTACCAAAAGTACACCGTTATCTAATCCTAAGTACATGCGTATAGCTATTTAAAGTTCCCCCGATACAAGGCTTGAGTGTCACTTAAGGTAGAAGGTTACTGAATATCTGTGGCAGGAGGAAATGTTAGGAAGTGAAGACTGTCAGGATATGGCCGAAAATAAATATTGATCCTTGACTTGAAGCGGTTAAGATTGTAGTGGTTTTTGTCGGTGTTTTGTGGATCGTGGAATTAATTGGCAATCATATTTGTTAAGAAATGGGTAAGTGAAATACTTACAAAAAGTCACTTGTTTTCTTAGGCAATTCAAATAGCAATGATGGCACCACTTTAGGTAAAATTCCGGATTTGAAGAGATCGTCTCTGAAATGACAAAGCGAAAGGGATAAATTGAAATCTTCAATCGAAATATGTAACACTTCTATAAAAGGATTTTGAAGAGGCACTATGACTATCAATCATTTTAATTAATCTTCATATTTTATTGATTTTTTTATATGCAAATAACGCTTGGATGAGAACCGTACGCAGTAATAAATATATGTAAATATATGAATCAACTTTGAAAACTTTAACACACACACACACACATATATATATATATATATATATATATATATATATATATATATATATATAAAACAGACAATAAATTTCTATTATGTTTCAACATAAGCCGTTCTAAAATTCGTGTGGGTGCTTTAATTTCGGGTGAAAATGAATATTTTCACTCGAAATTAATGCCACCATACGAAGTTTAGAACGGCTCCTCATGAAACATAATAGACATCCACTGTCTATTATATTTAACAATATGTTTAAATAATGACCTGCTCCCCAATACACTAAATATACAGTATTTCCATTAGTCGGACTATTGTCTTCATCTTTGTCGCCATATTTGTCACAACGTTTCGGCCGTTGTACGCTCCGGCCTTCTTCAGGTGGTTGGAATTTCGAACTGAACCCTTTATTTCGATCACTGGGGTAGACTGTTCTAGTTCCACGTGCCATGTTTGATGGATGTCAGTTATCAGTTATCTCCTGCTAATTTTCCCTCTGAAAGTTCTCCACTGCCTTAACCAGGTATTGAATTCACCTTCTTTGGATCTAACCAACGCCTTTATCCACTGTGCCATGTGTCCTTGATAACCGATAACTGACATCCATCAAACATGGCACGTGGAACTAGAACTGATGATTGCGTTTAGCATGAAACAGTCTATCAACTCTGAGTTTTGACTTCAATTTTCACACACACACACACACACACACACACATATATATATATATATATATATATATATATATATATATATATATATATATATGAATTAAGACAAAAGGTAGACATTAAATTCTCAAGAATGCTGGTATCGAAACATATCAAAATATAAATCTAAGCACCAGATTTTTTAGAATATTTCCATTCTTTCCACAAGCCAAGGTACATGACTGCAAGAATGTTAAAAATTGAAAAACGGTGCCTTTTCTATAAATACATTCATAGGAACTGTTCTAATAAGCTTTCCACTACGGTATTTTGTTTTTATGACTTTAAGCGCAGTACTCGATTGGCGGCGAGGTCCCATCTTTTTTACTGTTGAAATGATTAGATGTAACCCTAAATTATACGCTAAAAGGTTTCTTCTATTGCATTTCTCGTTTGTGGAACTCTATTCCATGTATGTGAGTTAACTTTAATCTTCTTAATTCTTGTTCTTTTAACGTTCTCTCTCCTTAATGTTTCTCATATTCCTTCACACTCAGTAACCCCCTTGCGTCTTACTGGCTTTTATAACCTTGCTTGGGGTGAAATGATAAAAAAAAAAGTTGATATCCTCCTAGAACCTTCTCGTTGCTCGCATATTCTCAAATACCAGTCCATGATATTTTCAACATTCATTGGTAGAACCATATATCTTCTTTTTTTAAACAATTCATCCGAAGTAAAGTAACAATGCCACTAAGATGCAAGGGGCTACTGGGAGTGAAAGAGAATGAAAAGATTTTAGAAGGAACAAAAAACCCGATCCTAAACAAGGAACAATTAATAAACCTCTACTCCTATCCAAAAGACTTGGGGGTAGTGTGAACCGGACGATAGGCGATCGTGTCGACTCCTGTAGAGGAGGAGAGGGTGATAATTAGTAAATAAAATTTCAGAGTTCAGACGGAGACGTTAGAAGTAAAGACTTGAAATAAACTTAGAAGGAACCGAGAACTCAATAATAAACAGGAAACAAGGGATAAACCTCTACTCCTGTTCAAAAAACTGGGGAGGAGAGGTTTATCCCTTGTTATCTGTCACTTCAGTTCTGTTTTTTCATCGATTAAGAAAACGTATACTTATAATCAGAAAGAGACAGCTGAAATATTTGGTACACATAATGAAAAAAGAAGACAAAGAGAATATAACACTCATAGGGTGTATTGAATGCCAGAGAAGCAGGTTGAAGCAGAGAGTAATTTACTTGACGAGTTTGTGAACGGTGGTCTAGGGACAAAGAGCAATGGTAAAGATTGAGAAATTAAGTAGGGCAACCAACATCAGGAAGTTGTGGAGAGCCATGATCGCCTGAATTTTCATGCTGAGAGCGTATTTGTTAGATTTGATTCCTGCTATAGCAGGAATGATGATCTGAAAACTTGTGGCGAAATTAAAATGAAAGAAAATCTTGTCAATATTACTAGTCAATAGAGAGGATTTATACCCTATCACTGTCTGCCGGAAATCCAACTCCCAGATAGCGTCGAGACTGAGTCATGGATATTCTTCTATGTGCTGTTACTTCAGGGCTTAGGTGATCATGGCTCTCCAAAACGTCCTGTTTTTTGTGGCTCTTAATAAGTTTTGTCTTTTTGTTATTTCTCCCAAGCCATGTTCCGCCATCCATTCACTCAAGTTTACTAAGTAGGTTATGCGTTGCCTTCCTCTGTCCCTATGAGTATCAGATTTTCCAAGCCCTCTTTCTTCATTATGTGCAATAGAAAATTCAGCGATTTCTTCTTGATATTAAGTAGAAATGTTCTTTTTTGTTTTCATTTTCCTCTAAAACTTCTGTGTTGAAAATATGTTCGGTCCAAGGTATCCTAATTTTTAATAGCTGGTAAAGGGTTTGTAAGACGTAATCTGCCAATCAAAACCCTTTATAAGATAAACAGCCGAGGAATTCCAAAAGTTTAGAGATTAGTTTCAAAGACCTCTTCGCACCAATTTCGCGTTCCTTCCAAATTGAAATGATTTTCGGAAAGTGTAAAAAAAAAAAAAAAATTCCGAAATAATTTTTTTTGCATACACAAAATACCTAATTATCTCTTCTGGCAATGATTTTCTGATATTTCATTCAAAACGAGAAACCAGTAACTGAGAGAATTAGAAAACGGAATAATAATAATAATAATAATAATAATAATAATAATACATTTCTGGAATTATGCCCTTCAGGAGAAATAAAAACACGAAAAATTAACGAATATAGATATTGAAAGAGAATCTATTTTCTGGTTTTTCGTCATAACAATCACACACTTTCCCTAAACACCATTCATTACACGAAACTATGATTGCTTTAAGGTGATAGTTTAATGATGTATATGAAAAGAAGCATTTATTTTTTTTACTTATAATAATGCAGACGTAGGATATTATAATACAGACGTACACGGTCTGATCAAAAAGTATCGGGACAGGTAATATAAAAAGAAAACTACAGAACATATGGATGCAGTATTTAATCTCCTTCGAAGTAGTACCCTTCTGAAGTCACATACTTTATGAATTGTCGTTTCCATTGATGTAAGCATTCCTTGGACTCTTTTTGGGTGATAGCGAACAGCTGTCTGGTCGCATTATTGTATTTATTTGATTTTTAGGAGGAAAACGCGGCAAGGAGCATGATCTGGGGTATATGGTGGTCGATGGACCTAGGGAATGCTGTGCCTTGCCAAAAACCGCTACCCAGGTCATGGTTACTGATAAAACATCTGTGGTGTGGTGAGACGACCACACTCTACACACTTTCCTTTCAAGTACTTCTATAAACAACGAAAGTCAGCGAAAACGTTATAACGTAGTATGCATGCGCAAAAGACTTCAAGGTCAATCTAACAGTGTCGAGGGGCTTCTCTCTGCGTACTTTAGCTTCGTTACCATAGCAACACTCCCGATATTTTTTGTTGTTGTTATTTTTACCTTATATATATGACGCGTTCAGCAGAGAAAGGGTATATTCAACATAAAATCGAAAATTGCTTTTTTCACTACAAATTATTCATTATATCATATCCAAGTATTTTACAAAAAATTAGAGCTGATTACACAATATTTCGAGCTCAATTTACGTTTAGATTTGTCTGCAGAATATCATTACATTATATGTTACCTAATTATAGTGAAATCATTAAGTTTTTTTTTTTTTTTTTTTTTTGTCAAAAGCATTTATTTTTGGTCGTGTATTAATTTAAAATATTCCTTTTTACAGCCTTTATTTTTGAAATGGAATAAGAGCATTCTAAATTTCAGAATTTAGCTGTTGCCCATCAAAATGGCTGGAAGGAAGTGATCTAAAAATAACAATGGAAAAGAGAGATAACACAACGTAGCTCCGGTTTGTTCAACTTAGGAAACTTAGCATTGCAACTAAAGTATTCTAAAATGCTGCCAATAACAAAGGAGAAAATGAAAAATATCAAATCAAATATAGCATCAAAATTTATATTATTTTTATTTATTTGTTATGTAAGTAAATACATAATTGTCAACAATGTTTCCGTAAAACTTAATATTCCTTGTAATAAATTCTTAATGAATATGATTATTTCTATTATTTTGCTAATGTGTAAGGTAATCCTAAATTTTCAATTCCTTACGGCTAACCACGAAAAGAAATGTTGATCAAAACTGCCTAAAACATTTAAGCATGTATTGCCGCAAAATTATCAAATGTTGAATACGACACTTCTCCGCCAAACGTGCCATATTTATTTTGCAGCTCGATAATCTAATATCAAGTTTAAAAGGATATGTTCCTACGCTATGTTAAGAAGATTTGTTAAAAATTGAAGATGTATTTAATAGTTTTTTTAGCAAGATGGGAGAACATTCTGTTTTTCCTCCGACTTACAGGACTTCCAATCAGAAGATATGCAAGTAGGTTATTTTATTACTTACAGAAAAACTACGTTAGATGCACACGCCTTATATGAATCTATATAAATATGGAAAGTTCATCTATTGGCTCGAAACAAAAGATCGCAGTGGTTTTTCCAAGGAAAACATCTACATATTTGCACATATGTCGCCGAGTGATTTGCTTTTTTTGTTCCACTAACTTTCGACAACTTTGAGGCCGCTTCCTGAT